CAACCAGTTATGAGTTGAGGACTAACTGTGCAAGTTTTTACTTCTGGGCTATTAGTTGTGAAAATCAGAAAATGGGATCAATGCCATTAGTCTTTTTTTTTTGATGATGCTAAAAGAACAGATATCTGTGCATAATTAGTTCTTAACTATTTTGGGGGGAGGGAGTGAAATTATGAGGGCTGCCATTGTGAGCTCTGTACTTCAACATTTGCCTTCATACAGTTCTTTGTACCAAGGGAATCTCTTAAGTCAGCTGCAAAAGCTGGACAATATAAGCAATTCAACCTCTGTCAAGCTGACTTCTTAATTTTAATGCAATAAAACCCTTTGACATCTTCAGGCAGAGTCTTAATTTCTTTAATAGGCACAGAATTTTCTCTTGATCTCCCAGTGAGACTGACTTTGGGTCAAACAATACTAATCTTGCACTGTGCCATAAAGCCTTTGCAATCCTTGCTGCATTCATTTTCTTATCTCCAACATGAGAGAGATTGATAATTATCCCAGCAGGTGTTATTCAAACATATCAAACCAATTATTTCCCACTTAAAGAATTTCACTTGCCTGATGATAAATCTGCTAATGTTGCATTAATAGTCCAAACAAGACTTCAAAAAGTAGAGAAGATAGTTTCTCTTCAATCTGCTAGCAAAAATAGTCAAATTACTGTACATAAAGGGACAGCTTAGCTTAGGCAGATTCCAAACCATTAAACAATTTTCTTCTTCATTTAAAAAACCTCATCATTATACACTTTTTCTTTTGTGCAATAATACAACTGCTTCTAAATAAACTATAAAGGAACAAATTAATGCTTCTAAAGGTTTTTTTTTCCCAAGGCCATTAACAGCTGCATATTAAAAGGCAATGAAGATAAACAGTCCCTTTGTTGATGGTTTTATGAATCGTTAACAAGCTATGGTTTCAGGTAATACAATGCATGTGATCAGAATGCCAAGAAAAGCTACCAGATAGAAAATCTCTGACCTTTCAGATGTTTTTGGACTCCAACTGACATCAAACTCAGTCAGCATAAATGTCAGACTGGAATTACAGATAGCAACATCTGGAAGTCTAAAGATTCCTCTTTTCAGCCTAGAAAACAACTGTAGAGGAAGTATCAATGGAATTCTTTGTCTAGAAGAATATTAACTGGATAGCAATGTCCTCTAAAACAGGGGTGTCAAACTCACATCATCACAGCAGCACCACGTGACATATCAGGACTTTCCCCCCATTCGCTAAACTGGGCATGGGTGTGGCCAGCATGTGACACATCTGCCCTGCAGGCCGGGACTTTGACCGCCCTGCCTAAACAACTAATCAACACGACACACATTTGAATAATACTCAGTAAGCCATACAGATTAGATGTCACAGTATGAAATTACTATGAATTTCTTATTATAACAAGTCTATTTATTATTATTATTTTTGTAATTGTAATAATTGTAATTGTAATAATTGTAATTGTAATAATATTACAAAAATGTAATAAATATGTTGCTGTATTTATATGATACAAGATGCATTGAAGGGTTAACATACACAGATTAGAATGGGGGCCCTATGCTCTTGGGGCCCATGGAGAAGTGCCCATTAGTCCCATGCATTAAGACAACCCTGGTTTTAATTGATAAATAATATGTAAGGGTCTTTTGATGCAGCTAAGAATTCTACCCAGAATTCTTCTCCCAGCTGCATATGCAAATATATGTTTTGCCTGAGCCTTTTCAAACTGAGGCTGATAACATACCGTAACTACAACTTGTGTGATCTGCATACTTATTGATCTAAAGGGCAAAACATCTATCTAGGACTTCTTTGGTTACATGACATTTATTTGTTATTCTACCTGTTATTGCAAGGTGCTCCAAACATTGCAAGAAGATTCTCATTTGTATGAAATTAATGCTTTTTAAATGCTTGTTTGTGCATCAGTGTTCATAACACCTGGATTACATCCAACACCATGAAACAAAAACATCTGCCACAGAAGAGGTAGAAAAATTCATAACAGCACAATATCGGTTGAGACAAAAGAGTTCTGTTTCTAAGTCCCAGAATATTACAGTTTGAAAGAGTAAAAGACGAAAATAATTATTAAAATACAATATTAAGAATCTTACTTAGATTAAACTCTGATTTGCTGCTTAACTTCAGAGTAAACTTATACTTGAAGATATATACAGATATATCTTATGTACTATGATCTTGCATATAGAATTACAATTTTAAAGGTGAACAGTCTTCTTAATGATTAAGGATAACATTTTACAGGTGCATTAAGTAAATGAAGTGCAATAGCAGTGGCATCATCTGTAAGACATATTTCAAGAAATATATTCAATATTGTATAACAAAGATGTGGCGCTGACCTGTTACTGCCAGGAAGTAACAGATATGCAATATGGATGTAGACTTTTTCCTTAACAATTATTGTATGACAGCCTATAGAATCTTTATACTACTTGCTACTTGCAATGCACAACAAATCACCGCAGGTTATATATTTCTAGTGCATTCACAAAATTGGCATCCTATTCATTTTCCATAAGGCATTGAAGACATGACTATGCTTGAGTGGGTTGTGGGTAGGACACATAACTTGGTTATGTTGAGTGCTGGGCTCTGGCATTGTAATTTTATTTTCTTGCTGCTATTGGCTTTATATTTTTGTTGACATCTTTATTATTTTTAGTATTGTGAACTACCAAGAGTTACTTATGTGACATAGGCTGTCACATAAATCCATTAAATAAATAAATGAAATTAATAAACTATAATTATCAATGTGCTCCAAAGCCTTGGAACTCTATTGTTGTTCTATTACAAACTTGCTTTGTTAATCAGACTTTTTTACAAGATATAATGAAAAATATTCTCAACTCTAAAGATGGCAGGATAAAAGGGATAACATTAATGGAAGCATTCCCAAAACAGCTTAGATGTTATATAATTGCAAAAAAAGCTGGATATCCACAAAAAAACTAAGACTTGGTACACAGGAGTAAAAATGATGCTCTTATTTCATTATAGATGATGGATCATATACAGTCACACTTTTCAACACTAGTGCCACCTCAAGATTGGAAGAGTCCTCACTTAAAGCTTCAAGTAGTATCCTAAGTATGGAGCTATTAAGCTATTAAGGCTTCAACTGAAGACCTAGAGTTTCCAGCATTTGCAATTTTGGGGTAGCACTCATCATTAAAAATGCATGAAAAATGCCAATCACATGATCATCTTCATATATTTAGTGTAGCTTAGTGATCCTAGCAATATTTTTTTTCAAAGCTTCCAACTAGTGTCTCATGCAGTAACATACTGTAATTTGTAATTGTCCATCATTACTAATGAAATGTATGCTTGTTTATTACCAATTATACTTTTTTGCTAAAATATTGCTGATAAGGAATGTTTCCCTTCTTTATTTTTAAAATAAATATTTATGGTTTTATGACATTTCTCCATTTAAACAGCATTTCCTTTTTATAAAAAATAAAGAGCTTAAATTAGCACAATTAAGAACTAAAACAAAATAAATATGTTTATAAGATGTCTTCCACCTCAAAATTATAAATTGAATGAGTATTGAGTAGTGATAAATTAATTTGCTGAATAAATTACTATTCATATCAAAATTATTTTTTAAAAAAGATGAGTGGGCTGCAAATAAATGACACGTGGCCATTCACCTAGAAAAAATGTGAGTGAATACAGTAATCTGTATCTAAAATAAGGAGTTTTGCATTAAATATCTGCAAGAAAAAAAGAATCTACTGAGATTCATCAGAAATTATTATGCAGCTTTTTAAAATGCAAACACCATTAAAAAATCTTGATGACTGATGACACTACATTAAAGTACTGGAGATTGAGTTTTAATGCCTGGTACTGATTGCTTATCTTCAAGCCAAGTCTGACTGGATGTGCATTATTTCAAAGAACTCTACTGGACCCTAAAACACTTCACAAGTGGATAAAGCAATCTCTTTCCTGTTCTGCTTTTCTTGTAGCTAAACTGTGTCTCTGTTAGCCGAGGCACCTGAAATAATTATTTACCAGATGCCTAAATCAGCAATACGGTAACCATTGAATCATGTATGTAAAGCATACACCTTTGAAAGGGGGCGTGCATAGCTAAAGGAGTTGGAAGAAACAATTCAGACTTGCATCGTCAACGTGCGCGGTTTGCAGTGCTTGAATCCGAGCGCGGGAAGACGACTCATCCAGCCATGATTTATTGCCTCGTCGTTGCTCCCTCCTCCTACTGTATTTTCCCATTCTTGAGCTGTTAAAAGGCTGAGAAGTGGGAAGTAGGGAGTGACGTTGCTGAGGAAAGAGTCGGCAAGAATTGAGTCCTATTCTGGGGTCTCCCTCCCTCGTGCTTTAGATGGCGGTGCGACCTAAGAGGCAAGACCCACGTAAGCTACACTTTTGTCGGAACGGGTTTCCGTGGACGCTGCAATTCCTCTAAATACTTTTCTTCTCCCGATTCGCATAAATCCGCTTTAAGTATGATTCCTTTTTTTTTTTCCCCGTGCCTTCCCTTCTTCGCGCTTTCCAGCCCAGCTGCACGCGGTTCCTTTCTCAGCGCCGGGGGGAAGCTTTTCTCAGCCGCGTGTGTTTGTTTTGGGAAGGCCGAGCGGTGCCCTCTGGCAATACCGCCCTTCCCTTGCCCGCTGCGGATTAAGGCACAGCAGGAGCCCCAGCCTCTTTCTCTTTGGGTAGGCAGAGATTGGGAGGGGGAGACGCATTTGATCAATCTCTGCCGGAGGACAAAAGAGAAGGCAGAAAACACCGAGTTTGCACGGAGGCGCTGCTCATCTCCCAGCAAGGAGGAGAAGGAGGAGGAAGTGGTGGCAAGCCCAGAGACCCATCTGCCCCTCCCCTCCCCCTTTCTTTCTTTCTTTCCTTCTTTCTTTCTTTCTCCTTCTTCTTTGGGGAAAGCGCCTCGGTTGGGGCTTCCGGCAGAAGAAGGTGGAAGGAGGCGTCGACTGCTTTTATGCCTTGCCCCAAACAAGGGACTTTTCTAAACTGAGAAAAGCGGGCTGGGTGGTGAGAGTGGGCGGTTCGGCGATCGTGGCAGCTAAACTCTTTAGCCTCCCGCCGGGTTGCTTCGCTCGCTGCTTAGCGAGGCGAGAAGGCGTCTCAGGATGGCTCCTTGCAAGTTGCCTCTCTATGTGTGCGGGTGAAGAGCTCGCCCTCCGTTTTTATCTTGCTGAATGGGCAAGTCGACAATTCGTCTTCTTCCAGGTCTTGTCGCCGCTGGATTCTACCCATCGCCTTAAAGGAACTGAGGAAACGGGACTCGCTTTCTTCCGAGAGCTCCTCGGCCATCCGCGTCCCCCTGGACCAGCCCAACCTATTGTCAACTGGAAGAGAAAAGGCGCTTGTTTCCTCCTTAGACCTGCCCTTTGGAGTTCTCCACTGCATCGCACCGCAGGAATTCGAGGCTCGCAGAATTTGGAAGCCTCCTCCTGGGTGGATTTGTTCCCTAATATGCTTCCCTCAAACCCTCGTTTAACTTAAGTTACGTTTGACTAAGGGGGGGGGGGGAAGGACCCCACGATCTTCTTCAGAGCCACCCTTCTCTGCAGTTTATTTCTGCTCTGGAAGGGGGTGCGGGAGGTTGGAGGTGGGTCTTTTGATTTCTCCCTCCTGGACTCCCCTAAACAGTTCGGGAGACGTCGGCTTTAGCCCCCAGGTTTAGCTTGTTGACATTCTCCCACACGCACGCATCCACCCCACGCGTATGCAAACACACACCCTTCTCCGTTATTGCGCTGCTGGACTCAGCTCGTTTTTTGGCTTCGCTAGTAGGAAAAGAGTTAGTCGAGGACGCAGAGGAGACGCAGGCGCTTGCCTCTCTTGGTCCCAGTCTGAATGAAACCCGGTCGAGAGAAAAAGTGACTGCAGACGGGATTTAAAGGAAGTGAAGTGCGGGGACCGAGGCTGAAAAGAGGGACCGCCTTTTCGCTTTTCTCCGTCGGCCGCACCCGAGAGACCAAAGCGCGCAAGCGACTGAAAGGGGACAGTTGCCGAGAGGTGCGATGGCGAGGCTTTGGAAAGCGAAGGTAGTGACTGCTGGAGCGCTTTTACTTTTGCAGTGCTTGGCTGACCGGGTACAATTCATCGGAGCCGTGAAACCGAAGCAGAGTCTCGGTAAGGAAAGAAGCGTGCCTGGGAGATGATGGTGGTGGAAGAGGTGTTCTTGGAAAGGAAGGTGAACCCTGAGCAAATGAGAGTGTCTTCCAGTCCAGAGTGGATTTTTCGTGGTTTAAGCTTATATTTGTCCACAGTGGGAAATCATTTTGTATCTGAGGGCTTGGGGTTACTAACCAGGTTTGTGTGATAGCCCTTTGAGGGTTTCACCTTAAAGCTGAGGTGTTAAAAAAGGAAACATTTCTCTGGGGTTCATGTAATATATGTGAAGTGTTTTGGAGCATGTGCAGAGTTCTTTTCTCTTGCTGGACAACAACAGGAACACTCAAGTGTGTCTATAAAGTTATTGGGATGGGGCTGGATAGAGAAGATTCTTGAGGCAGAACTAGGAAGTTTCTGGAATGACAGAACTGATTAACATGCTTCCTTCTGAATCTGGCAGGAAATCATGGTGTGTGTGTGTGATTGAACCACAGTTTGATTAGGCTCTGGGAACTTCCAGAGGACCACTTTTCTTATCTCTCAGCTGGATTCCTGTCACACACTCTTCTCTGGATGGTGGAGCTCAAGAACATTAAGGGACCACTCAATGGTATGGGTGTGATCTTACATCCTGAGGAAGGTAATTTTAAATGAGAGGAGATGGATAAGATGGTAGCTATGTGTCTGAAGCCAAGAATGGTTACTCATTAACAGGGTGATATTGCCCTACCTTTGAATAGTGGGGACATTGGAGCAATTTATGCTACTTTTTCTTGAAGAAGGTATTGGCGCTTGTTGAATAAATTATGTCTGCTTGAAAGATTTTTAACAAGAGTGTTCAAAATCATCTTTGTTGGGTGTTTAAAGCAACCTAGATTTGGGAAATCCACAGAGAAAGTTTCTGGATGACTAATGGCTAGTTGCTGTTACCTAACTTCACAGGCTAATCATGAGAATAAAACTCGGGTGGTTACTTATGCAAGCTGCCTTGTGGTTTATAAGCAAGAGTGGTGAATGAAGTAGAATTACAGTTTTGGAAGGGGGACTGTTATGTTTTCATGAATCATTTTTTATTTTAAAATGTATTTGTGAAACAGAAGTTGAATAGACAGACAAATGGCACACCATTATTTATATTCTTAGAACTCTATTAATCTTTAATTTCTTGTGATATTCCTCAATCCATGTTACTACAAGCACACAGCCTCACTGAACACGTGAATCTTTACCTTCCTAAGATGGGCGGGGGGAGTGTGTTTCAGAGTACCTGTTCTTCTTCTATATAGTCTGTGTCCAGATCCATATCTTTTTTTTTAAACTGCCATGCTATTGAAGATGACGAGAAGAGGGTTTATTATCAAACACACAGCCAGTATCTCGTTCTCTGGCTTCCTGTTCTTCTAGGTTGCAAACAAGAGTTTTATTGACTGGTGTAAATATGCAGTGCAGTGGTGTGGTTTCACAAAGTTGTACATCCTTTTCAGATAAAGCAATATACTGTTTCCTGCCTTTTCATTTCCTTGATTGGGAGCAGAGGCTTAAGGAAGTGGAAGACAAGAGTTGTAGGAAGATCTGCTGCAAACTTCATAAAAAATGTAATCCTTCCCAAGCATTTAACCACACAGCTGGTGGGGGTGATACACACTCTACAGGAGATTATGCCCGTGGTCTCATCTTCCTGAGTTACTGTATAACTCTGCAAAGTCTTCCCACATTTATTCAAAAGCAAACTATACTGAGTACCGCCAGATTTACTCCGTAATAAGTACATGGGATGGCATTCTTGGTCTACTGCCAACAAAGGTAACCCAAAAGCTCAAGGACTGATAAACACAGAATTTGTGAATAAAATGATTTTATTTTGGTGGCTCATATTTGTATTGCATGCACACAAAGAGAGGGGAAATGGTAAGCAGCGAAAGATCATAAAATTCAAGAACTATGCAGTTCTCATATACAACTGCCAAATATTATACATAGCATTGGTGAATGGATGAAGAAAACACGTTTTTTTTTTAAAAAAAAACAAGTTGACCATAAGAATGAAGGTGGGGGGCCCTAGGGAGATGGGGTTATTGTCTTTATTTTTTGGCCCCTTTTATTTGGGGGGATTTAAAAGATAACATGGATTGTTTAAAGCCTTACAAAGATTTAAGCATGTATTTTGCTGTTTAAACATTTCTGGAAAAATTAACCTGTTCTTATGAAACATTTTAAAGGGTTGAAATAGATGTTCCATATTATTCTGAAGCAAAAAAACAGTGACTGGGGATTTTGCAGGCCTACAAGGGTTCAAATTTCATGCCTAGATAGTCTAATTCAGTCAGTTCTGTTGTGGAGTTCCTTAGCAAATGTTTGCTTTTTCAGTGAAATACGGTTATATTCCTTAGCGTTATGCTATTTCAGTGTCATATCCCAAATATGACATATGTCTATTCTTTTTTGTAGAAAGTTATTGGGTTAGTGGAAAAAGAAGGCTAGCAAGTGATATATATTGGCCTTCCCCAGCCTTTTCGTTTTCTGGAATTGTTGGACTACAGTAACAAATCATTCTTGGACAACACAGAAAGCAATATTTTGAAAGTACTGATGACATATATCACACTGGAGAATAAACAGGTGAATATCATCAGACCTCTACAGTGTGTGGCATCCTTGTATCTATTAATATTGACAGCTGCTTTCTCAAGTAGATTTTTCTTTAAAGTTGTTACTTTCTGTTCTGTTCTGTTTTCTACCTATATAATTAACAAGGCTACCTGAGATATGCAGAATTTTTCTGGGATTTAAACTTTTATCTCCTAAATACAGCGTCGAGTCATTCATGTGACCATTACAATATGAAATTAAGAGTAAGCATGCATGCCCTTCATTTCACTCTTTCACTCCTGCCCAAAAAATAGTATGTTAACACTTCAGAGTGGTTTCAGTCATTAGTTGTTCAAGAACAACTAATCACTGTGCATGAGGGGGAGGTAGGAAATCCAACAATTGTCATCCCATAGTAACATTTCTGCAGTTTCTTAGTGCTTTGAAATGTGTTTCCAGACAGATTTTAAAAGAAAAATAATATTCCTTGGTGTTTGCTTTCTTTCAGCTAAACTTTAAGCTGAATTTGGCTGAAGAACATTTGCTAGTTAGAAACAGGATAGCTTTGAGCATAAGACATAATTTCATTGTTGGAAACTGAGGAGAATTCAGATAAGCCAACACCTGACTGGTAAATTGCTGGGAAGCTCCTTTGACTATCCCAAATGAAAAGAAAGTAAAAAAGTGTCTTAATAAATTACAGGTAGCCCTTGTCTTACAACAATTCATTTAGTGACCAAAGTCACAATAGCACTGGAAAAAGCGACATGACCACTTTTCACACAACCATTAAAGCATGCCCATGGTCACATAGTTAAATCAGATGTTTGGCAACTGATTCATGTTTTGATGGTTGCAGTGTCTTGGTCATCTTTTGTGACCTTCTGACAAGCAAAGTCAATGAGGAAGCCAGACTTACTTAGCAACTGTTTTATTAACATAACAATTGCAGGGATTCACTTAACAGTTGTGGCAAGAAGGGTTGTAAAATAGGGTAAAACTCATAGCAGCTGTTTCACTTAGCAACAGAAATTTTGGCTTCAATTGTGGTTGTAAGTTGAGGACTATCCATATAATAGTCCAGTAATTAAATAGATCCCAAAATATTGTAGAAAGAGTTTTCATGTAATTGTTCGGTAGAAATTAGGTAACACAATACTGACTTTCATAGAGGAATTCTATAGATATTTCCAATTTTAGTACAGCAGATAACTTAATATATTTTAAGTACCAGACTAGCTGATTGGTTGTGGAGTAATTCCAAGGCAGCTGTATTATTTCAACTTCATTAATATAGTATATAAAAGTGAAATTCTGTGAAATTCAACAAATACAAAGCAACTGTATTTATACAATAAATCAAAATATTTTTATTTATGATTTCGGCTCTGAACACAGGCAGTGTGACATAAACTTTTATGACAAGTGAATCAATCCATTATGATTATCAGTAAACCATGGCATTTTAACCATTATTAAAACATTTTTGCTGATAAACTATTGGGTGAGAATCTTGTATAGGCTCTGATAGAATAACACATTTGGAAGGTGAATATCAGAGAAGATTGAATTACAGCATTTAAGCTACAAATGAACAATGGAGATCACCTGTTCAATCCATGATCTTGCTGGAATTTGATTGCTTATCTCCTGTACTTATTACCTATAACCATAATGTTTGTCTCTTGTCCCATATTAGATTTTTTTAAAAATAATAGCTTATTATTCCTTCAATGTTGGTAGGTTCCAGAGGGTCTAAATAAGGCATTTCAATATTGCTTGGTTGTTACTTGAAATTACTGAAAAATGACATGTGTGCAGAAAATTCCAAATATATTCCGCCTTAGCTTCACCAAGATCTTAACCAGCAGGGCTGGTTACTCTCCCAAAGATTTTGGAGGACATGCTGCTATTCAGAACATGTTCAAATATTTTATTAGACTGATTTTGATTAGACACATCGGTGCCTTGAGACAATGAAATGAACTTTTAAGAATGTAAAACTTTTACCAAATGGAATCCTCAATTCAGTTGAATCAATTGGACAATTTAAATTGCCAATTCAATTAGATTGGTCCAAATTACAAAAACTAGATTAGAAGAAATAGATCTATTGAAATGCATATCTAAAACAGGCTGTTGGCTAATTTTCAGATGCTTTCTTCATACTTCCAGTTTCAAAGCATGGTAATATGCTTTGCAAAACAGTTTGCATTTTTATTTGGAAGGTACATGGTGTCCTTTCTTATCTAATATTTTCTACAATTTCATAAACTTTGCAAAGTTAAATCTGTGCTGTTTGAAATGAATACTGTTGAGTGTAATCTTCAGTTAATAATGTGTAGATCAAGTCATATTTGCTTACTATTGTTGCATTGGGTTGTCTATTTTTTGAGATGGTAATTTTTAACAAGACTATTAGCTCGTTC